CACTGGGAAAGTTGGGATCTATTGCAGCTGAACCTGCTCATTTTCAGGGTTTCTGCAGTCAGCCCCTCTGCACTGGGGGTGCATGCTGACCAGCTCAGATGGCAATTTTCTTGCTACACATATGTCTTGTGCTTTTCTCTCAGGGAAACTCTAAGCTCCACGAGGGCAGAGGCCAGGGGTTGGGCTTCTTTTGTATGTCCCCGTGATGTTTTCACAATGTTGGGGCCACTGGTTTGCAGTCACACACATTTACAATTCACAAGAGACTCACAGACACTGATACACAGAGATGCACATCTCCACATCAATTGCATCAGACATACCAGGGGATGATGCAGATCAAAGCCAGCTGGGGAACATTTCTGTATGGCACTTCCATATTTACTCCCATATATATATATTTTTTTTTTTTTTCTGCGGTACGCGGGCCTCTCACTGTCGTGGCCTTTCCCGTTGCGGAGCACAGGCTCCGGACGCGCAGGGTCAGTGGCCATGGCCCACGGGCCCAGCCGCTCGGCGGCATGTGGGATCTTCCCGGACCGGGGCACGAACCCATGTCCCCTGCATTGGCAGGCAGACTCTCAACCACTGCGCCACCAGGGAAGCCCTACTCCCATATTTTGATGATCTTAGAAGTTCACAATTAAAGAAAACTGGAATGCACCTGGGAAGTCCTGATGGAATCAGAAAGCCAGACTTTTAAGATAAAGTCTCCCTCAATGAGGGTTATATGAAATGGGGCTAGATTCTAGTCACTGTAATGAAGAAATGGCCCAGGCCTTCCCATCTGAGGATGCTCCTATACTGGGAACCCTGGGCCTTGTGTTTACATCTTGGTAGCATCCTTTCCCTTACCCTCCTTCCTTTTGAGGCAAGTAAATAATGATAGGCGGGGGTGGCTAAATGTCAGTGATTAATACTGGTGGCATTTTCAGATCCTGTTTGCATCTCAGAAAACCATTTACTTTAAAGAAATCAAATAGACAACCGTGTGGTGACAACATTAACATTTATTTGGAAAGGGCATCATGAAGGCTCGTTGGGAAATCACGACTAATAGTCCTAAAGAATAATCTTGCTAAGAGTCCTTCCTACATTCCACCCCCGCCCCCCGCCCCCCAATCCTCCTTCCCTTTCCTTAAACTAATTTGATTCAATTAGTTCAAAATACAGAAAACCGCCACAGGCACTAATTCTGCACTCACATATAAATACGTCAGCTATTATATACAGACACTGTGAACTCGGAACTACACTATACACACTTGCACGCGCACGGGCACACACACACGCAGCCAGGTCACGAACGTCTAAATGGACACAGACATGTTACAATGTGTGTGCAATGCTGCAGCATTTGTGGATTTACAGCTCTGCACTCCACGGGCCAGAATCAACAGCCATGGAGAAAGAGCTCAAAAGGGGAAAGTGATGGGCTGGGGTCCCAAGCGCTCCTGAAGGAGAAAAGACCTGGTCAACCTGGTTGGTGCTAAAGGAGAGCACGGAAAACAGGCCGCAGAGCCCCCTCCCACAGGCCTGTGTCCCCTCCCCACTTCCCCAGCTGGCAGGCCCCACCAAGACCCTCCTTCGGCAGGCTTCAGTCCTAGGCTGGATTTGGGATACGGGGTATTTTAACTAGAAGATTTCTAGGCTTAGAGAGATGAAGAGGTAATACACTGCCCTAAGCCTTCTCCCCAGCCATAAGGAAGCTGCCTTGTTTCAGCACAACTGCCTGCCAGGGTCTTTGGGTCTGGAGAAGTGGGCATGGCCTGCTCAGAGGTGCCCACTTCCCTGGCTACCATCAAACTTAATATTCAGCCTAACAGCTCAGGTCTAGTCTTTTGCCACAGGCCCCAGCTGGCCAGCTGCCATTTCGTGGTCATAAAGAGGAACTGGGAGAAATAGCCTCACTTCTCAGTGAGACTCTGTACCCAGGTGAGAAGCCCCAGGGACAATGGAATAGCAACTGGAAGGTGTCATGACCCAAGGGCCCCTAGTGAAGCCAGGAGGTCTGGCCTTTGAGGAGTCTAAACAACTGCAAGGCTGTTCTGATTCTTAGGCCAGTTGAAACATATCCTCTGGGACTGAGAACACCCAGGGCAAAGGACAGTGCATCTGGGACCCCTGCACTTCAAGCACTTCAGATGGTCCCAGCCCCACCTTTTCACTGCTCATCCATCTATTCTTATGCTTGAGGCGGAGGGCTGGACAGAGGAGAATGTCTGAGGACTTTTCTCCTTCTTCTGACCCACTCAGGCTACTTCTCTGGGGAGGAGATGTTTAGCAGTCAAGAAATCACTTATTTCTACTTTTCAAAAAGAGGAAAATGGGAACAGGCACAGGCCATGGGGGACCACTTGCAAGGAAAACCGGAAGGAGCCTCCAGGGTCACACTGGGGCTCTCCTCTCATCTGCTTCTTATGCACTTATGTGACTCAACCAAGTTCACTGAAATTCCAGATATATCCATGCTACTGGGTTCTGTCAGCAGAGTGCTAACCGACCCTACCCCTTGCCCACGAGGAAGAGTCTTCAGCAGTTTTGGGGAGCGACTGGCTTGGGTGGCCTTGCTGACTGAAATTCACAACAGAGGGGAGGGACAGCAAAAAGGGCTGGTTGCTTGACACGGTGCCGCCAGACGCCAGTGGGCTTGGAAGGCAGGAAGAGTGATGCTAGGCTAAAGGCTGGGGTACCCACCAAACTCTGCTTGCCTTCCCTCCCAGGGCTCGGGAGGGCAGGGGTGGGGTGAAGGAGGCTGCTTAATTTACCAGGTAATTGTTCCAGTTAATGTTCATCATGAACTTTCTGATTCTGAGGCATCTTTGGCCAGAATCCGTATTCTACTCCATGTCAGCAGGCAAGTTAATATTCTACTGAGTGTAAGTTTAAATTGAAACCGAGAAGAAGGGCACTCAAAATGTGGCCATGTCTCCAAAGGAAGCACATCTTTGCTATGCAGCGGTGACACAAAGAAAAATCTGCTTCAGACAGAGGAAACAGCAGTGAGGTATATGAAGAATGGGAATCCTGCACCTTGTTTCTTCGATCTGTTCCCAGGGTGGGGACGAGGGAGAGACAGCTGATGGACATGTAGGTCTCTGGTTCTAGTGCTGGCTCTAGAAAGAGGCTCCAGGGAATGGCTCCCAAGTCCCAGACCCAGGGCCCCCAGGGCAGTGCTCGGGGTGCAGTTGCCACGGGGGTGGACCCTACAGTCAGAGAAGCGCTAGAGAGAAACAGGGCTTCGCGTCAAAGCTGAGCAGGGAAGAAAGATGGGAAGATCCAGTGAGGAAAAGACATGTTTGTGGCTCAAGATTCAGATTTTTTCTGAAGCTTCTTCCAAAGGTCATTTGTCTGCAAGTTTGTTTCTAGTTATTTTATTTTATTTTATTTATTTAATTTATTAATTTATTTATTTTTTCGGTACGCGGGCTTCTCACTGTCGTGGCCTCTCCCGTTGTGGAGCACAGGCTCCGGACGCGCAGGCTCAGCGGCCATGGCTCACGGGCCCAGCCGCTCCGCGGCATGTGGGATCTTCCTGGACCGGGGCACGAACCTGTGTCCCCTGCATCGGCAGGCGGACTCTCAACTACTGCGCCACCAGGGAAGCCCTGTTTCTAGTGATTTTAAATCTGGTTTCTTAATAAAGAGGTATTAAAGTAAAGAGAAATCTCGGTTCATGCCTGTAAAGTTGGGTTGAGCGTTAGCCAAAAGCAACAGAGCAGCGCCAAAGGCTGTGGTGGAGGGGCGAGAGCTGGGCCCCCTCGGCCCTGTAGTCATGTAGACCCTCTGGAAGCCAGAGGCCCACAGCACAGAGGCAGCAACCAAGGGGGGAAACTATAGGAACGAGGGTCAGGCAGCCCCCATACCCAACAAGGTTATTGCACACGCAATAGGAAAGTTCCATTTGTTAAGATTCTCCTAATTTGGACAAATACACCTATCAGCCCTGATAATCAGGCTCTCACAGTGCATCTGTGCAGGGCCACGCACAGAGGTGTGACCCGAGGGTGTCCCGAGAAGACTGCCCTCCCCTTAGCAGAATCAGCCCGCTTCCGACCCCACCCCACGCTGCCGAAAATTGTACCCTCAAAAGGGGTTCCTTTGGGTCAAGAAATCTACTCACCCTCCCTCTTTTCAAGAGCAAATTCTCCAGGAAGGAATCATGTGACCATTCTCACCTTCCTGTGAGTCATATCAGCTCAGAAAAGTTATGGGAAGTTAGACTGAAAAAGCAGAAGGAAAGGGCTCTTCTTGGCCAGAGGGAGCTGCCTCAGGAAGAGGCCCAGGTGAGGTTCTGCCAGAGGCAGCTCACTCGGGGAGCCGCAGGAGGAAGAGCATCAAAGAGGGAGAAAACTCAGAAATACATCCCTCTGGACAAAGGCGGGGAGATACTACAGAGGGGACGCAGACTTGCCCACTTCTGCCCGCTGCTCCTGGACAGGAGGCCGGCCCGGGCTTCTGCTCCCTGGCCCAGCCGGCCAGCCTGGGGACCCGGGCTCCCTCTGTCAGCGGCCTGCTGCCCCCCATGGTGTCTCTACCCCAGCTTCTGTTATACAAGCTCGGTATTAATTAACAATAGAAACAATTCACGAAGAGGCAACTGGCAGGGTGAGCAGGGGAGTGGAAAGGACACCAGAGACTTGAAGGCCTTTGGACCCTCAAATGGGGAAGGAGGAGGGGACACTCTGGAGGAGGTCAGCGCCCCATCTTCCAGCTCTCACAGGCCACTGCTCTACGGGAGGAGCTGGCCTTGCCTCCTCCTGATTGCAGTCTACGGCTTCCTTTGACCAACTGTGTCTCTCTCTAGTTCCCTCCTGGGGGAATAGCAGCTGCACACCCACCCCTGTGAAAGCCCTTCACTTACTACACTAAGCAGGAGTTTCCTGGGACCTCAGCCTCTCTCTGGAGACCCCCAATGACTCTTGACCCCAGGATGACACACAGGAGGAGACAAAGGGCACAGGTAGGATGCTTATTGGCCACAGAGGGGCATGTGGCCGGATCTCCCTCAGGGAAGACAAAGAGGAAGCAGGGAGGCTGAGAGGGGGGCAGTGGGGCCCAGGGCTCCACCTTGCTTAGCTGTCCAAGGTGCTTTTTCTCTGAGATCCCAGTTAGATCTCCAAGGCGTCGGGGGTGGGCGTGAAGGCGAGCCCCTCCCTCAGGCCCCAGCCCTCCGAGAAGCTGTGTCTTGGAATTCAGTATACGCACAGATCGGGAAACTTCATCTCATAGACAGGGATGGAGTGGCTCTGAGGCTGGCCATAGGCTGCGGTGATGGTTCCTGATGGGCTTGGTGGGGGCCTGGGGCAGAAACACACGGAGGGGAAAGGCATGAGGACAGTTCTGGGGTCCCGCCCCGTGCAGCAGAGCAGCTGACTGAGGTTTCTCTTTGAATAGGGACAAGAGATTTTGTCACTCCGTGGTTCCCAGGTTTCCAGTTGTTCTAGAATCTTCAGCTTGAAGTCAAGCTTTACTGCAGGCTCTACAGCGACTCTGTTGCTCTAGAAAAAGCACCAGCTTGTGACACTAGGACCCCCGGCTCTTTTCCAGGGTTCACTGAGCTGTCTCTTTCTCCCTTCAGTCTCTGTTTCCTTATCTGGGGAGACTTGGTGGCCGACTCCAGCCCTGGAGACAGAGGCTGGGGGCAGGGAGGGCTGAAGACAGGTGCGAGAGGAGGACTTGCGGGGAGGGGTACCTACACTGGGCCACAGAATTGGGGATCCCCTGCCCAGGGCTGCCACTTACCGGATGGTGATTTCAAAGATCTGATTGAGTTTGCTCTGCAGCAGTGATGCCTAGACACAAACAGAGGAAAAGTGAGCTGGGGGCTGACTCCCAAGCCCACCCTGCCCAGCATGCACTGCAAGTGCTGGGCAGTTGCGGCCTTAGGAAAGAAACTGGTGTGAGCTCGTTTCCAGCACTTATCTGTGGACCCTGGCAGTGGGTTCAGATCAGAAAGAGCTGCCCAGCAAAGGCCTGTTGGGGACAGCACAGAGGCCAGGAACCCCAGGAAGGACTTCAGCAAAAGTTCTGGAAGAGCCCTTAGCTCCTCCAAGTGGGGCAATAGGGCCTGCTGGGCAGAGTCAGGAGGCTCAGAGCTGGTTCCAGCTCTTTCCTTAACTCCCAAGGAGCAGTTGTACAAAGATGGTGCATTAGGGAAGATGTTCTCTCTGGTCCCTTCCGGCTCCACCTAAGTCCACGTACACAGAGAGTGAGGTTGTTCTCAACTCTGAGCTCACGAAATGAGCAGCCTCTACCTTTCAGGATGGAACTAGAGGTCAGCATAATATAGGCCCAGAAAAATCTATATTATACTTACATGTATTTTTATATATAACTTATGTATTTTTATATATTACTATATATAATTATTATAATATATGAGAAGTTTATGTATATATATTTGAAATATATATAATAGAAAATTACATGTGTTTTTATTGAGAGGAAAAAGTACAATAAAATATAAGTTATTTGTAGACTTTGGATGTTTACAATTATGTTTCATTGTTACGAAGACGGACACTGGGGCTAACAAATCCTGGAATATCATTTTCAAGAAATGTTTGTGCTCTTCCCTTAGCCATCTACTCGTCTTTCTACTCGTCTGGCGCCCTCTCATTCAGATTTCTTTTCCAAGGCCAGGCCGTTCCATTCCACCTGCCGGGGTCCCCCAGTTGGAAGCGAGCCCTCTAGCAAATGCTGGCCATCTTTCGTGTGCCATGGCCCCTTCCCCCATCACTCCATAATGTGACAACCCTAACGGCAACAAACTGGCAGAGTTGTCATGAGAAGGAGATAAGCTGATAAATATAAGATGCTCTGATGAACAGCAAGTGCTATTTACATTCTTGCTCTGATGCTTATAATTTATTATAATCTATCTATTTGGTACAGGAGATCCTGAGGTCAGGGTTTCTCCCTTATATGAAAACTGTGACCTCTGGAGGGGTGTATGACTAATAGCCTTTAGGTTCATGGGGAAACAATGTAGTGCCAAGGCAATGTTGGGATCTAAACCCTAATTTCTGGATGACAACAGAACCAGGATCTCCTGGAAACTCAGTCCTGCCCTGGGCCCACATCCAGTGTCCATTTGATCCCGGGAGGGGCACCGTTACGTCTCACTTACCCGGGCCCCGCAATGCGCTGCAATCTCCTCAAAGGGCGCCTTCTGGAACTTCTCCACCACCTGTCGCCGCCGTTCACGTTCCTGCTCCTCGACGGCCACGCTGTCCACTGCGCCACAGAGAGCTGGGTCAGCCCTCAGGTCCTACCGCAGTGATGCGGTCTGAGATTTCCCCCCAGAGCTCCACTCCGCTGATGAGGGGCAGGGTAGCGTGGAGGGTGCGATGCCATCACTTGGCCCTGGGAGGGCTAGACCCTTTTCTGATTCTGCCTGAGGGCTCAGCCCCCTTCCTTGCCTAAGAGTTTGAAAACTAGTTGAGTGGACCCTTAAGTGGGGCTAAAGCCCCATGTAGTTGCATTGACACTGGGACTCTTAGACAGAAGTTCCTGGAACAGGAAGTACTCTGGGGGGAATATGAAAAGGGACATCAACAGTGGAAAAGCCACAAAAGACAACGAAGAACGCCTATGGCAGAGCAGTCTGAGGCTTGTGCAGATTCCTCTTGGTAGCCGAAATGAAAAGAAAAAAAAAGGAAGCGTATGAAATATGTTCATCGTGCCCAGTTTAAGAAGGCAGAGCAGTGGGAACATTTAGAAAGTGTACCATGAATGACAACAAAGATAAAGATTTGTTATCAGTTATCGGAAAAATTCTCTAATTCAGGATATTTCATTGCCCAATAATCTAGACGACGTAATACTGCATTTAAAAATCTACTGCCATTATTAAATAAGTATTAATAGGATTTCTTCTTAAAGGCTTTCATTGGTCAGCTTTTTCTTTTGTATCACACTCCACCAAAAAATTGTCCAGGTATTTATACAAATTAAAATTGCAGGTGGGAGGGAGGGAGACGCAAGAGGGAAGAGATATGGGGACATATGTGTATGTATAACTGATTCACTTTGTTATAAAGCAGAAACTAACACACCATTGTAAAGCAATTATACTCCAATAAAGATGTTAAAAAAATAAAAAGTAAAATTGCTTTTTACTTGTCTGATTGGCTGTAACCCTCAACTGACCACTTTTAATGACAGCGGTCAGTAGAAAAAGGGTTCCTGGCATAGGACATGGACACCCCCCGCCACCCGTTAAGAGAGGGGGACTTTTAATTGCAGCTTCAGTAGTTGTGAAGAGTTTAGAGGAAGCCACCAGCCTCTCCCCTCACATCTGTGTGAATCACACTTGCGAGGGCAGCAGACAGCTGCGCACGCGCACACGCCTCTCCAGGACCCGGCCCTGTGACCCCCTCCCTGCGGGGCTCCCACTTACCAATGGCCTTCTTCAGCGTCTCATAGGTGATCTCCTCGGCAGGCACGCGCTGGGGGAGAGGGAACAGAAGTGCTCAGAAAGGGGGAGGGGGAAGCGGGGGGTGGGGAGGCAGCCTTGGCTCCCTCAGTTACCTGGCAGCCACTTCACTTCTCAGAAGAATGTCCCGAAGGGAGAAACTCCCTGAGGACACCCACATTCTCACTAGGGTCTCTGGAAGCTGCCTGAGCAGGCACAGAGCCTCCAACTGAAGGAGAGCAGGGAGAGAGAGAGGAGGGGAGGCTAGTGCCTCATCAGTCACAAGTCTGGCCTGAAAGAACTCACTGGCCCCTCCCCACCTCGCCCCCCAGCGGGTCCCATTAAGCTCCCTGGGAAGAAAACACTGTAATTCAAACAAATCTTCACAGAACTTAACAGAAAATATTCGAAACAAGAGAAGGCAGTTAGCAAATATAATCTCATATGAAAATTTCAAGAACTGATTAACTTTTTTTTTGTTTTTGTTTTTGCGGTACGCGGGCCTCTCACTGTTGTGGCCTCTCCCGTTGCGGAGCACAGGCTCCGGACGCGCAGGCTCAGCGGCCATGGCCCACGGGCCCAGCCGCTCCGCGGCACGTGGGATCCTCCCGGACCGGGGCACGAACCCGCGTCCCCTGCATTGGCAGGCGGACTCTCAACCACTGCGCCACCAGGGAAGCCTCTGACTAACATTTTTGAAGACTTCTGATATTAAATTATCCACCAAGGTGATGTGAGTATTCAGTAAAGGTAAGGCATACTGAGGTTGGTCCAAGGACCTGGGTCACAGGATCTCAGTGTCCTGGGAACCCATAAAAGGAGGTGGAAAATAATAAAACCCAAAGAAGGGTGTTCTATGGATGTGTGGCCTTAGGTCAGATGCTGAAAATTGTGAAGGAGTTTGGACTAAATTCCAGGATTTCCCCACTAGACTGTGAGCTCCTTGAGGCAAGACCCATGATTTATTCATATTCTATTAGTTAAATGTAATATTACATGAAAGAGGCAGACACAGGAGAGAATGATTTCATTGATATAAAGCTCAAGAAGTGACATAAGTTGGGCTAGTGGCTCCCTCTGGGGAGGGGGTACAGAGGCAGGGCTCCTGGAAGACAACATTTTAGTCCCTGATCTGGGTGTGAGTGCATCAGTATATTCACTTTATACACTCAGATAATTCACTGAGCTTGGAATTCCATAAATGCTTGTTCGAGTAGGAATGGACAGAGTTGTAAGTATGGGATAAAGTCATCCAACAAATATTAAGTGAGCACCAATTATGTGTAGGATTCTTGGCTAGTCGCTTAGTTGAAATTGCAAAATGTATTACTATCGGAATTACACGCAAGAGAGCACTATCATTCACTCTGAAGATTCATTCACTGTGAAGGTTCATCCTCTGTGGGTCTGTCCATCCACCCATCCATCCATCCATCCATCCGTCCATCCATCCATCCATCCATCCACTGTCAGCACTGACCAACATCAGATATTCACGGGTAAAGTGATAGGAAACCATGTGGTTGTGGGAGAAAAAGGAAGACAGATCACTGGGTAAAGGCAGGCAGAGAGAAGCTGATGGAGGAGATGGGCCACAGGCTGGATGTTGATGAATGGGCGATTCAAGAACGTAGAGCTGGAGAGGAAGGGTGATTCCGACATGGGATTCCACACTAGCAAAGACATGGAGGTGAATGAGATAGCGCGGGGGAGACTGAGCGCAGACCAGCCAGAGAGGAGGGGAGATGAAATGAAATGGGAGGGCATCCCTGACTACAAATGGCTCTGAATGCCAGGCACTGGGTTTGGAAATTAACCAAACCAGCATTTAATGATCACCTGTTATGAGGCTGGCATTTAAGGCTACAGGGAGTTACCGTGAGATTCTGGAGGGGTTGGGGGGGGGCAAGGTGGGCTGGAAGTGGAAAGAAGCACAGCACGGCAGAAGGGTGGAGGCTCCCACACCCCTGCTTTCGATACCAAGCCATCCCCGGGCTAAGCTGACTCTCTGAGGGGGAGGAACCCATGATGCTGACCGGGGGGCCACGAGGGAGCAGGCAGCTGTGTACCTAGGTGAGCATTTCTCTTCCTTCTTCTGCTTCACTTTACTTATCAATTCCTGAGGGTCTCTCAACTCTCGGGAAGGAAGAATTACAACTATTGAGGGGATAGCAGTCAACTCACGCTGTGCTCCTAACACGTGAGGTTCCCGTCCCTGCAGAGCTGGAAGGCCTTGGAGGACACCTGGCTCAATCTCATGTTGCTTCTCCAATTAGCCTGAGTCAGAGCTTCCTTCCTTCCATGGGAAGGTTCCAGACAAGCTTGGAAAAGCCCTGCCCTGGAGGTCTGCCCTAGTAACCGAGGAGCTGTTGGAATGGCTGAGGGCACAGTTAGGGGGAGGCTTGACCTTTACCCCACTGACTTCTCCTTGCTCCAGGCCTATGTGGGGAAAGGCTGGGTGTCCAGGCTGTCCTTCACAGCTACTCCAGGCTGTCCGTGCTCAGGGATCTCGCAAGTCTCCTTGTCCCAGTCCCACCCAGATGTGCATCCTCCCTGCTTCTTGCTAAGGTTCCCCTGCGTCTCTGTCTCCGTCAACTCCCTTAATCGGCAGAGTTACCATTTAAGACAAGGGTACCACATCCTGAGGCTTCAGTTCCCTCGGGATGCCTTTCTCTCTCCTCACTGCCCCGCCCACATTTCTTTTTCATTTTAGTGAGTAAATTTGGTATTTCCACTAAAATTCCTTTTTCCCCCTTACTTGTGGGTACACCTTCTTTATTTTCTGAGGCAGAAGGAATACTGGTAGGAGAGATATCACATGGTAATTGAAACAGAAATTAGATATTCACAGCCCTCAAGAGATGATGGAAGGAAGAAAGATCTTTAAGCTGCATCTTTCTCTTTAAAAAAGCATTTTTCAGGGCTTCCCTGGTGGTGCAGTGGTTGAGAGTCCGCCTGCCAAGGCAGGGGACGCGGGTTCGTGCCCCGGTCCGGGAAGATCCCACATGCCGCGGAGCGGCTGGGCCTGTGAGCCATGGCTGCTGAGCCTGCACATCCGGAGCCTGTGCTCCGCAACGGGAGAGGCCACAACAGTGAGAGGCCTGAGTATCGCAAAAAATAAATAAATAAATAAATAAAATAAGCAGGGGACACGGGTTCGTGCCCCGGTCCGGGAAGATCCCACATGCCGCGGAGCGGCTGGGCCTGTGAGCCATGGCTGCTGAGCCTGCACATCCGGAGCCTGTGCTCCGCAACGGGAGAGGCCACAACAGTGAGAGGCCTGAGTATCGCAAAAAATAAATAAATAAATAAATAAAATAAAATAAAATAAAAAAGCATTTTTCTTGACATATCTGGAAGAAACATTGTAAAAGCTATTCTTGCCCTCATCTTTTCTGTGAGGCCTTCCAATTTCCAACATGGAGCACGTCCGCCTCCATCATGAATAGGGAATGACTACCACCAGCAAGGCTTTCAAGACTGATTTTTATAACATGCTCATGGGAGTGTACGGCGCGGGGGGGATTTGGTAATTTTTTCCAGATGGAAATGTCTAGGATACATATGACGAGAGTCAGTAAGAAAACAGGACTTACTCAAGAGATTTACTTTCTGTGCAACTTTAAATGTGTGGGGTGGCTAAGGGAGCCTAGATCGTGGAGTGTCTGACCACCTAGGAGGTAGGAGGAGTCCCCTCCCAGGAGGACGCTGAGCTTCACCAGGACAGTGGATCAAGAATGAGACACTCACCTCCTCCTTCTCTGGGCTGTTCCTCGATTCTACCTCCACCTGCAGGGAAATGGTTTCTCCAATGCTCTTCCTCTTGGATAAGCGATCCTCATCTGGGAAAGGAGGATAGAGAAGCTAGAGTCTCCAGCCCCTGCAGAGCAAGCCAGGATCATGCCTCCAGCACCATCTCCCAACCCCCCTGCCTTTGCCTGGTCCACAGTCCTCGGAGGGCTCAGAGGGAGTTTATACACTGGGGCTACAGCTGGAGTTTACGGAGGGCTGCGGGCCTTCACTGCCCATCTTAGGGTGGTGAGTTTTGCTTTTTAGGGCTAAGGTTTTGAAATTACTGATGAGCACAAAGAAGCCGCTTATGACCAGAAAGCATATCTCAACTTTCACAAGGGTCATCTGCTAACAGCACCAGCAGCTGTCATGTGCGTAGCATTTCCTACTACGGGCATTTCCTCTACCCTCTAAGGCAAGTATTGTTAATATCCCTATTTTACAGCCAAGGCAACTGAGACTCGGAGATGCCAAGAGACTCGTCTAAGATTCTTCAGGAAGTAAGCGACAGAGAACTGTGTCTCAGACTCCACAGCCCACGTGAGCTCTTTCCGGCACCGTGGGGTCTCTCCCACGCACAGGCCAGGCTATCCCGTGGGCCAGTTACTCCCAAGGACCCTGCATGGAGGAGGAGAGGTGGGAAAACCAAGGATCTCACCATGGATTTCCACTGTGTCTTTCAGCTCTTGTGTGACATCTAAGGTGCCATGGAAGGTGACCGAAGGACTCACAAGTCCCTTCCTTTCAGACCCTGGCCAAGAAAAGCCAGAGGCAGGCTCGGAAGTCCTCAAGCAGGGCTCCTACCTGTCAGCTGAGGGATGTAGGGCAGGCAGAGCCTGTCTGCATTGTAACCACTGCCCCCCAGGACCTCACTGATGTTGCTCTGGCGGAAGAGAAGCTCAATCACCACTCCATCGACGTTTTGAGACAACCTGGGAGACAAAGGAGGGAAGAGGCAGATGAGAACCATGGGGGACTAGAATGATTTCCTGATGACCTTTCTTAATTTTTTTTTTTTTTTTTGCTGTACGC